GCATCCCCACGCGTGACCTTCCCGTACTGCGCACGCGCCCAGCCCCCACCACGGGGGAGGGGCCCTGCTCGCCCACGCGCGCGGGGGAGGGCTGCGGGACCCGGGGCCGGGAGGCACCGTGCGGGGGCTGGACCCCTATCCTCAGCCTGAAGTTCCCCTGCGCCTCCCTCTTCCCGCCCGGCCAGGGTCCCTGCTCTGTCGACCCCGGGGGAGCCCGGCAATTTAGGGCTCCAGCTCACACCGCCCCCAGGACCCAGATGTCCGGGCCCCCAGTCGCCTTGCTCTGGGAGTCCAGGAGTTTGAAACCTGGGCGCCTTTTGCCTCGGTTCTGGAGCACGGCACCCTCCTCCATCAGACCCCGGGGGTCCAGCCCCCAGCCCCTCCTTCTACAGACCCGGGAGTCCAGGCCCCGGCCCCTCCTCCCTCAGACCTAGGGGGCCAGACACCCAGCTCCTCCGCCCTCGGAAATGGTTGTGCAGGCCCCAGCCTCTCCTCCTACAGACCCGGGGATCCAGGCCCCCAGCCCTCCTCCCACAAACTCTGGGGTCCAGGCCCCCAGCTGCCCCTCCTATAGACCCAGGGGTCCAGGTCCCCAGTCCCTTGTCCCTCAGACCCAGGAGTCTGGCCCCCAGCCCCTCCTCCCTCAGACTGGGGAATTCTGGCAGAAGGTCCCTCCTCTCACCTCACCTGCCCCAGGACGGACCGGGCCCATCCGGTGTCCTTCCATTCGCGGCTGCTGTTTCTGTCCAGTGCCCTTGAGGCTCTCAGCTGCCAGGGTCTGCAGGAGGCCACGCCATGAGTGATCGAAACAGTCGGAGGCGGACAAGTGAGGACACTGGGCCCCCTTCCCTACCCTGGTGCCTGCTTGGTCCGCCCCCCTCGGTCCTCCTGCCGGGGCTGCTGTGGTGGGGTGGCCTGGGGACCCCAGGAGCTCCTCCGGGGTAACCCAGAGCGCCCCTCTCCAGTGAAGAAGGACGACGAGGCCTTTGCCATCTCCATCCCCTTCGACGAGGCGCCCCAGCTGGACTCGCAGATTTTTTACAGCCTGAGCCCCTCTCGGGGAAACTTGGAGGGTGAGCTGGGGGTCGTGGCCAGGCCGGGTCAGCGGTGGGGTCCTGGGCGGTGACCCGGGCCCCAGCCCCTCCTGCTACCCCTAGGGCCCCCGGAGGCCACATCCCCCACCCTGGCCCTGATGAATGGCGTCAAGGCCCAGCTGCACATGGCCCTGGAGAGGAACTCCTGGCTCCAGAAACGCATCGAGGACCTGGAGGAGGAGAGGGACTTCCTGCGCTGTCAGCTGGACAAGTTCATCTCTTCCACCCGGATGGACGCAGGTGCGGGAGACAGGGATGCAGGCCCTCCCCCAGCAGCTGACACGCAGCTCGCCCAGGCTAGAGGCCCCACCTGGCCCTGGGTCCTGGGACCCTGGCCCGCTCTGCCAGTGCGACGTCCGCCCGGGACCCCAGGCCCAGCTTTCTTCTTGCTTGAGGTCTAAGCCTGTCATCCCGGGCACTGCCTCCCGCCTTCCCAGCGGGTTCCCCCAAGCGGCCTGACGTGCTTCCAGGGCCCACAGTCCTCTCTTCCTGATCCCCTTCATCTCCGTGGCTGGGGCACCTGCCCTCATTCTCTGGCTTCCCCCAGGGGCCCTGTTCCTCATCAGGGTCCAAGTGGCCAGCCTCTTCCTATCCTCCACATCCACCTGGTGACGCCAAGGCCCCTTCCCCAGATGGCCAGAGCCGTCCCTTGCCAAGTCTATATACATAGCTCATGACTTAGAGAACCCAACCTCCATCCCGCCATGCCTCCCTGTTGGCCCTCTGCAAGCTTCTCAGCTGAGAAGATCCCTCAAAAACTCCCACACCTCTGTGATTTCAGCCTCCCCCCAAAAGCCTGAGCCTGGGCTGTGGTCCTCAGGACCCTGGCATCTGCCCTGGGACCAGCCAGGCCCTGCTGCCTGCCAGTGGCTCCCTGACTGGTGGTTCCACCCTGGGTGATCCCTCCTCCATGGCTGGGCCCTGGGGCCTGTGGACTTCCTCAGTGGGGCTCCAGCAGCAGACCTGCCCCCAACCTGCCTCCTGTAGGACCCTCTGCAGGGTGGAGGTGGCCACCTTCCCCAGCCCCCCAGAACCCCTGATTTCTTTTGGGTCGGTCCCGCCCCCAAGCCTGAGCCCTGCCTACCTCCAGCGTCTCCAGACTCCATCCTCTGAAGGTCCCACCAGGTCTTCCTAAAATCCTTCTTCCTCCGTGGGAACCCCTCCCGAAGCCCCTGGCCTGGTCAACTCGGACCCCTGCCCCAGAACCCAGCTGTGTCTGTGCTCTGCTCCCTGCCTCCTTGGGGACCCAGCCCTAGCTGGGGACTCCAGCTTTTCTGTGTCCCATACATCCAGGCCCCTCTTGTTTCCGGAGGACCTGCGATGGGACATCTGGTCTCACAGTTCGAATGTGTGTCTCTTTTCCCAGAGGACCACTGCCGGGCGAAGCCTGGGCCCCGGCGCGAGGGGGACAGCCGGGGCGGGGCGGGGGGCGAGGCCTCGGATCCCGAGTCGGCAGCCTCCTCCCTCAGCGGAGCCTCTGAGGAAGGCAGCGCCAGCGAGAGGCGGCGGCAGAAGCAGAAGGCAGGCGCCGGGCGAAGGCGCTTCGGGAAGCCCAAGGCCCGGGAGAGGCAGCGGGGTGAGTGGGCGCACAGCAGTGGTGACCCCCCGAGGTGCTCCCTCCTATCCCAGACTCCTGGGTTGACTGAGTGTGGGCCTAGCCTCAGTGGCAGGAAAGAGGATGCTGGAATCTGCCTGGAGGGCGGCTGGGGAACCTGGCTCCCCAGCCACCCCATAGGCCCATAGGCCACCCCATAGGCCAGGTCAGGGCTGGGGGGGGGGGGTGGGGGCTTCTTGGCTCCCTCCTCCTCCAACGCCCCGCTAGCCCATATGCAGCCTCCACTTCCCATTCTCTGACTCTTACACCGTCTCCTGTCTTCCCTGCTCTCTCCATCTCTTCCGCCACGGGCTCCCATCTGGCCCCGTGGCTACTGCCTGGCTTTACTCTGTGGCCCGGACCCCACCTTGGCCTCCTGCTGCTCCCCACTTTCCCCATGTCTCTCTGTCCTCCCACTTCTGTCCCCCATGTCACATTACCCTCACTTTTGTCCCATGTCTGTCCCCCATCTCTGACTCCCCGCTCTTCTATCACCATGTGACTACCTCACTTCTGTCCCCCGTTTCTCCATATCCCTTCACTTCTATCCCTTATCTTTCCCATCACTTTTGCCCGTGTCTGTCTCCCAATCTGACTCCCCCTTTTCTGTCCCCTATATCTCTGCCCCCCTCATTTCTATTCTCCATGTCTCTGACTCCCCTCCATCCTCCATGTCTCTGTCCCCATGCCTCTCTGACCCCCCACTCTGTCCCATGTCTGTCTCCTATGTCTCTGTTCCCCATCTCTCTCTGTATTCTTTCACTTGTCTCCATGTCTCTGTCCCCCATCTGACTACCCCGTCTCATCTCTGACTCCCCCCTCTGTCCCATTTCTCTCTGTCCCCCATGTCTCTCTGACCCCCCTCACTCTGTCACCCATGTCTCTGTCCATGTTGTCCTGTTGCCCCACAGTGAAGGATGCCGATGGAGTCCTCTGCCGCTACAAGAAGATTCTGGGCACCTTCCAGAAGCTGAAGAGCATGTCGCGGGCCTTCGAGCACCACCGCGTGGACAGGAACACGGTGGCACTGACCACGCCCATTGCGGAGCTGCTCATCGTGGCCCCCGAGAAGCTGGCTGAGGTGGGTGAGTTCGACCCGTCCAAGGAGCGCCTGTTGGAGTACTCGCGCCGCTGCTTCCTGGCCCTGGACGATGAGACGCTCAAGAAGGTGCAGGCACTCAAGAAGAGCAAGCTGCTGCTGCCCATCACCTACCGCTTCAAGCGGTGATGGCGCCAGCCTGCTCCCGGGCGCTCTGCAGGCCTGCGCCCGCCTGGCCTGTACATAGGCTTTCCCCCAGGCCCCGCTTTGCCCATCCCTGTACATAGGCCATCCCCCAGGCACGCATCTCTCCCTGCTCCTGGGTCGGGGTCTTCCCTGCACGCTGGGCTGTGGGCCGCCAGCTCTGCCCCACGCCTCTTCCTGCGAGAGCCGGCCTGGCCACGTTGCCCTCTGGGTGGAGTGTCCAGGCCCCAGAAGAAGTGGCTGCCTGTCCCCACGAGGAGCTGCCTCCCCACATTCCTGGACCACCCTGCTCCACGCGAGACAGAGAATTATTCAGATAATTTAAATTAAAAAAGAGATGTGAAAATTTGGAATAAACTGGGCCCCAGCCTCTTCTTAGGAGGGGAAGGTGCCAGGAAGGGAATGGTCGCCAAGAGATGGTGATGGGGAGAGGCCAGGTGGGAAGTAGACGGTCAGGACAAGGTGCGATTAGTCCATGGGGGCACAGGTGAGAGCTGTGTCAAGGAGCTCCGGAAAAGACGCGTGGACACTGCGGGCTGGGCTATCTGGAGTAAAGGCAGTCGGCAGGAGGCGGGACTCAATGACCTCTAGCGGGGGAGGCCACCTGGAGACCAAGGGATGTTCAGGTGGATGCTTCCGCCAGCCCACAAGGGGGCAGTAATTCTAGGTGATCCGTTCCTACCCCAGGTGATTTTCAACCTCCCTATGCCTGCGCAGAGCGCGCTTACGCGGTTGCCAGGACAACCAGGAGAGGGCGGCCTGTTTAACGGTCTGGGATCAAGAGCTTTTACACCGGGAAGGGAAAAATCTCGCGCATGCGCAGCGGGGAGTACAGAACCTATCCACACAACCCGAGCAGTGAGAAATCGCGCCACAGACGGACTTCTACGCAGGCGCAGAGACCATTCTCGCCCCTCCCGCCCCCGGCTACGACCCTGCGCATGCGCACAAAGCCACGCTGGCAATCTCCGCAGTGGCCGCGCGCACCCTTCACCCTTCTGGCTGCTTTTTTCTCGCGCAACCTTCTCAGACCCTCCGCGAGGTCGGCCCTTCTTTTCTTCCACTCTTCTCACCGGGAGAGCCAGGCGCAGACAGCCAGGACCCCGCCCCCTTTTCTGTATCTCTTCCCCTGACCCACCTCGCCTCCGTCCTCCCTCCCTTTTCGGTTCCCGGAGCCGGAAGAAGCCGAAGCACCGACGGAAAAAGCCGAAGCTGTCCTGCGTGAACGAGGCCTTCACGAAGCGGTGGCGGAAGGAGCCGAAATTCCCTGGCTGGGGAGGAGTGAGCGAGCGGTGTCTCCGGAAAGAGCCGAAGCTTGGACTCGCGCTTAATCGCTGGAGGAGTTCGAGGGCGAGTGCCGGAAACCTCCGGAAAGGGCCGAAGTCCGGGACGGTTAGGATTGTCGGAATCGGCCAATTGCTTGGACGGGGCCAGCAAAGAGCGGGGCGGGTCTAGAAGAAGCCCAAGGTGGGGACAGTTTGAGTTTTCGGAAGAAACCGTACTCTTATAGGGGGCAGGGCGCAACGCGAGGACACACGGAAGTCTCCGAACGTTTAGGAGCTAATCTCCGAAAAGTTACGGAAACCTGGGAAGCCGTCGGAGCCCCCGTTTCGGGTGTTTTCGGAAGCAGCCGAAGCTGCCGCCGGCCGAGTCCTTCGTGAAGTGTCCGGAAATAGCCGGCGCGCTTCGGTGCCAGGCTCGGGGCGGGGAGGGCCAGCTTGCGGGGGAGCGGGCGGGCGAGGGGGCGGAGCCGGGGCGGGGCAGGGAGGGCTGCCGGGGGTTTGAATAGGTAGGAGGCGGCGGAACGCCGGCGGCAGCCGGAAGTAGCCGAAGCCAGCGGCGGAAGTAGCCGAAGCGGCCGGAGCGGGCGGGCGGCAAGGCGCGGCGAGAGCTGCACAGGGCCCAGCGCGGCCGCCTCAGCATGTCGGACTTCGACGAGTTCGAGCGGCAGCTCAACGAAAATAAACAAGGTGAGGGCGCCGGGGTCGCGGGGCGGCGGTGGGGACGGCTCTTCGC